AGAATCAAGAGTCCGCTACTTACATTTGCCTGCAGGGAACGCATGTGCGTTGGATGGAGATCTTGACTCTCCTTCATTCTGCGAGGAGGGAAACTGGCTTTGCCATTGTTAGAGGCTGTCCTGATGGCCCGGTAAGACCTCAGCGAAACAGCCGGCTCGTTCGGTGAGGAGAAAAAACCGTGGCCTGAAAAACGACTGTTTCAAATTGGAAAGGCATCCATTTTTCTCCAACATCACGTCACTACTCTTTGGGAGACCGTCCAAATGATCCAAGGGATTCATCCTTTCTTGCTGTTAATTGGGGTCGCTGGGCCATCAAAGGAGGGCGCTGGGACATCCATCGCTGGGCCCTTGGTTTTCTCACCCGATCATCCGATTGGTCAAGACAATTTCTTGACCCATCGGAAATCCATCGGCGACAGGAAATCGCCTGGCTCAAGAGCATCTCGTGTCTCCAGGGCATGGAGATTGCGATTCTATCGATTCCATCCTGCCTGTGAGGACAGAAGGGTGTTTGGGGGAGTTCAACAAGCACCACGATCTCAGAGTATCTCATGGCGTCTTTGTTTCTACCGCCGCAGCGTCTAGACGAGACGAAGCGATCCGTTGCGACGTCCGATCCGTCCGAAGGTCCGACCAGGTTGCGCCTAAGACCGGTGGAAGGAGATACCTTGAGAATCCATGTGGGACATGACCTGTAACACCCTATCTTTGCCCTGTCAGACCACAAGGGTCTCCTAACAGTATCTTTGGGTGTACCTTGGGTGCATCTCAGATTAACACTCTATCTTTGCCCTGGGAGTCCAGTCGACCAAAAGAATGGTCTGACTAGGTGACCCGAGTCAAGGATTTTCCTTTACTTCAGTCAGTCAACATATAGTCTTTGGACTTCTAGGGTTTGAGATGTCGGCTCGCAGCTGAACCATCATCATCCACTGGGCCCAGGGAATGGGATACACCCAAGAGATACCACAAGAATCCGGACCCGTTCCGCAACACATCGGGTTTGGTTCGGGTCCGGACCTCTGCGAAGGTGTAGAGTCCGACCCCTGCTTTAGAGGGCCCAAGGATTCTTAGGGTAGTATATGTAATGTGTTGCTCTCGTACTCGTCGAATGACCTAAAAGTGGCTTCCGCGTTCCAAGACTGTTGCAAGCTCCAAGACTGAAGCACCATGTGTTCCAGTACTTTCTTCATGTGTCGAACCGAGCATGTCTTGGGTCCGTGAACGGCTTCGTCCCACATCCTCGAAGGACCACAGGCCTCGCATGAATTCACTCACTTCATCAGCCAGCTGCTCGCCGAGGCCGACCGCTTCCGCGTCCTTCCGCGGTTCCCCGGTTCGCGGAACCGGTTCCGGTTTCGGTTCGGCGGCGTCGCGGCGTTCAGCCGCGACGGACGGGGGAGAGGGGCGTGGGGG